ACCTTCCTTTCACTCCTCTGGCCAAAAAAAACTAATAATAATAAAGAAAGGAAAAGAAAAGAAACTTCTCAGAGAGGTTCCTAGTGGCTAAAAAAAAACTCCTGGTTCTCCACCCCCTGTGACTTTACGATGTCTGCAAAACAAGACTGTAAGATACAGAAACAATATGAAGGTACTGAAAAATGATTCTTTTTTTTTCCTTTTTAGAGATGGGGTCTTGCTCTGTTGCCTAGGCTGGAGTACAGTGGTGGGATCATAGCTCACCGCAGCCTTGAACTTCTGGGCTCCAGCCAAGCTCCCATGTAGCTAGGACAACAGGCATGGGCCACCATGCCTAGCTCAAATTACTCTTAGATGCCCAGGGACCCTATCTTACACAGCAGCTGATATTCCAGTTTGAATAAATTTAATTGATTTTTTTTTTGAGTATTGTCTTTTCATAATTTAACTTAAACAAAATAACTTTTTCTTTCAATTTGATGCTTTATTTTTTATTTATTTATTTATTTTTTTGGAGACGGAGTCTCGCTCTGTCGCCCAGGCTGGAGTGCAGTGGCCGGATCTCAGCTCACTGCAAGCTCCGCCTCCTGGGTTCACGCCATTCTCTTGCCTCGGCCTCCCGAGTAGCTGGGACTACAGGCGCCCGCCACCTCGCCCGGCTAGTTTTTTGTGTTTTTTTTGGTAGAGACGGGGTTTCACCGCGTTAGTCAGGATGGTCTCGATCTCCTGACCTCGTGATCCACCCGTCTCGGCCTCCCAAAGTGCTGGGATTACAGGCTTGAGCCACCGTACCCGGCCAATTTGATGCTTTAAAATGGTTTGATATATTCCTAGTTTTTCAATATTGCGATATTTTGAGAATGAAATATTGTCCAGAGAAGCATTTGTTATAATGGAAAGCAATGGGAGGAAAAAAAGTCTCCAAAAGACACAATGTGCTTTGTTGAAGGGATGATGAGGACACATCCGTGGATACTGTCTATCTGCCATACTTAACAAGCCTATGTCTGCCACAGGGCATTTGCACTCTCTGTTTTCTCCTTTAACCAACATGTGGGGTAAGCTAGGTAGAGGTTATCACTGTTTTATACATGAAGTAAATGCATTCCACAGAAAACAGGTGATTTCAGCTAGGCACAGTGGCTCACGCCTGTAATCCCAGCACTTTGGGAGGCTGAGGCAGGAGGATCACTTGAGGTTGGGAGTTTGAGACCAGCCTGGCAAACATGGTGAAACCTCATCTCTACTAAAAATACAAAAATTACCTAGGCATGGTGGCAGGTGCCGCTACTGGGAAGGCTGAGGCAGGAGAATCACTTGAATCCAGGAGGTGGAGGTTGCAGTGAGTTGAGATCTCGCCACTGCACACTCCAGCCTGGTGACGGAGCGAGACTCCATCTCAGAAAAAAAAAAAAAAAAAAAAAGTATATGATTTGCTTCTGGTTAGAGAATAAGCAAATGGCCAACCTGGACCTGGATGAGGCAGGAAATGCAATGCCCTGGACCGTGTGTTCTGTAGGTTTACAAGTGTATGTATGGACAGAAAAATAAACTTTCCTTTATTTGTACATAGCTGCAGCTACTGGATTGGAATTCAATTCACAAAGAGAAAAATACAAAAAAATCTACTTGTCTGTTAAAGGATAATGTTTAGCAGAGGCTGAGAAAGGCCAGAAGTATGTACAGACAGAAAAATAAACCCTCCTTTATTTGTACATAGCTGCAGCTACTGGATTGGAATTCAATTCACAAAAAGAAAAATAACAAGCCAATAAATACTTGCAAACTATGTGATCTTACATCCCAGAGAGTGTGGGCTGGAGAGGCCTGGTACTGGAGACGCCCACTACACTGGGGTCTGGTGGCCGGCGAGTGAGGGGACTCGTCTGACATGGGTGAAGGCTGCAGCACACACAATACCCAGATGTTACCAAGGGCACACGCAGATGGCATAATTGGTGAGAAATCAGAAACAGGACACACGTTACAGGAGGAAAGAAAAAGAGGCTGGGGCCTGTGGCCCAGCCCTGGAAGTCAGAGAACTCTGAAGGGCTTTGTGGGAGCGAAGCCTTGGGGTTAAGCAGATAGACATTCACCTCCTGAAAACCCACGGGCGGGAGAGCCGAGCGACAAAACAACCGGAGGAAGTGAGCAGCCGCCGAGCAAGCGTGACTCCACACAAGGATGCAGGAGCCACAGGAAGGAGCCGTCAGAGCCACCCAACCTGGAAACAGAGGCAAGCTCGGCCCTGCACGGCACACGCTTTCCAAACTCCAGAAAGACTGCCTGTTGGTAGGCTGTGGATATCAGTCGCGTGCACAGTTCCGTCCGCTGGCCAGACATGCCTTCAGGCCCAGTTCTGTTCTGCAGTCAGTGGAATTTTGATAATACACTTTTCAAAAAAAACAAAACAACCACCTCTGTTTCAGAACATAGGATGTTTTGAAGGTTATATTCTTGGCATTTAGAAAACAGTAAACAGCCTCTTAGCTTTTGGACTGTAGCTAAAATCATAGGTTTTTTTTTTTTTTTTTGGAAGTTAGTTTCCAGGCAAAAGATGAATTAGTCTGCGCCAGAGTAAAAAATTACTTTTGATTGCCACGCTTTTAAAATATATGAAAGGATGACCATCAGTCATGTAAGAGATGTTTGTAAAATGTCCATAGTTAGCTATGAATGTGACTTGGACAAACACAGTATCTACTTGTCTATTAAAGGATAATGTTTAGGCTCAAGCCTGTAACCCCAGCACTTTGGGAGGCCGAGACGGGCGGATCACGAGGTCAGGAGATCGAGACCATCCTGGCTCACACGGTGAAACCCCGTCTCTACTAAAAAAAATACAAAAAAACTAGCTGGGTGAGATGGCGGGCGCCTGTAGTCTCAGCTACTCGGGAGGCTGAGGCAGGAGAATGGCGTGAACCCGGGAGGCGGAGCTTGCAGTGAGCTGAGATCCGGCCACTGCACTCCAGCCTGGGCGGCAGAGCGAGACTCCGTCTCAAAAAAAAAAAAAAAAAAAAAGGATAATGTTTAGCAGGGGGTGAGAAAAGCCAGAAGTTTAGGATTTAGAGACAAGCAGAAGTACTAAGAAAGGAAACTGAATAAGAAACATGGAAAGAGATGGAAGCAAAGAGAGAGAAAAAGAATGAGAGAATGGGGGGGAGAGAGAGAGGATGCACCTCTAAAGCCAGGTAAGGATCTTGGCCCCAGGTGCTGAAACTGGAGTGATTCATTGTTATGGGCTGAACTGTGTCTGGCCAAAATTCATATGTCAATGTCTTAACCCTCGGTAACTCAGGATGAGACTGTATTTGGAGATGGCGCCTTGAATAAGTCAAGTTAAAATGATGCCACTGGGGCTGGGTGCAGTGGCTCACACCCGTAATGCCAGCATTTTGGGAAGCCAAAGCAGGAGGATCGCTTGAGCCCCGGAGTTTGAGACCATACTGGGCAACACGGGGAAACCCCATCTCTACAGAAAAAAAAAAAAAAAAAAAAAAAAGCTGGGCGTGGTGGCATGCACCTGTAGTTCCAGCTACTTGGGAGGCTGAGGCAGGGGAATCACTTGAGCCAGAGAGGTTGAGGCTGCAGTGAGCCATGATCATGCTACTGCACTCCAGCCTGGGTGACACAGCGAGATGCTGTCTCAAAAAAATAAATAAAAGCAAATAAAACTATGCCACTGGGTGAGCCCTAACCAATCTGATTGGTATCCTTAGAGAAGAGAAAATTTGGACACACACAGAGACACCAGAGATGTGTGTGCATGGAGGAAAGGCCACGTGAGATCACAGGAAGAAGGCAGCTGTCTGCAAGCTCAGGAGAAACCAATGCTGCCGATACCCGCTCTTAGACCTCCAGCCTCCAGAACTGATAGACAGTGCGTGTTGTTGAAGCCACCCAGCCTGTAGTAATTTGTGATGGCAGCCCAAGCAAACTAACATGTTTATCACAACCCTGTGGAGGAGGATGTGGGGTTTACCCACAGTGGAGCCCTAGGCTTGTCCTGCCACGCGTGACTCCACCACAGGGTGTGTAAGTTGTGGCACAGATGCTGCCCCTGCCTCCTCCACATTCCCCAGGCCATCCTTGCTTCACACTCTTCCTCAACCCCCTTCTCCGGGGATCACCTGCAAGCCTCCCGGAGCCCGCGTGTGAGCATGGCGGGGATCCAGCCTCCTCCGGTCACGGCTCAGCTCCTACCACCTCTTCCTCCCCAGAACTGCACACAGCACCTGGCGCAACTCCATGAATACCAGAGCGGGACATTACGGTCACACTGTGCTCACTTTGTGAAATAAAAGATGGAGTCCTTTTACATCTTTAACGCCCTTCGAGCACATGAGCAGACGGAGTGATCATGAGATGTACTTGGGAGAGGGGATGACAGGGACGGGGGCTTGGGCCCTAACGCCGGGCGCTGCCAGGGACTCTTGAAGTAGGACAAGGAGGCACTGGGGAGGGAGGGTCTAAGTGGGTGCCTGGAGAGCCTGTGCCCACAGGGGTGGCTTGGGGTGGCTTTGGGTGGACTGGGTTTTTCACATGAGCCAGGAAAGTCAAGTGGGGAGTCCAGTTAGAGTTCCCATTTCCTTGTGAACTGCGCTGCTGCTGACAGCAAGGAGTGGGAATGCCGAGGGTGACCACATGACGCTGCCAGGGCAGATGCTGGAGGCTGAGACATCAACCCAGGTGCCCCAGCTGCGTGGAAGGGGGTGTGAGCGTGGCGCCGCCCTCCCTGGAAACCTGTTCATAGATCTGGACCACACAACAGTGTCTCTGTGCCTAGATTCTTACCTAAGACCCATTTCTCCGACAGATACTTGACTGTTGCTTTCTTCTTTCCGCTGTAGGGCCCGATGACGATGCTGGCCTGGCGGGGGACTTGGCTGACCCGGCCTCCGCACAGGTGGACTAGTTCACAGAGCTTGGCCACTGGGGGGCTGCTGGCAGGCGAGACAAACATCACTGGCTGGTCGGCAAAGAGGGTTCCGCGGTACGGCCCTGCAGACAAGTGGCACTCCCTTCGGCACAGCTGTGGGGCAGACAGAGAGAATTACAGAGGTGGAACCACTTCAGTCTCCATAGTGTAGGTGAACTGTTGCGGTTTGCTTCCTTTTTTAGGAAAAGAATAGACTGAATGTAAGGCTGCCATGCTCCTGTGAATTTCGAATTCTGAGAACCCAGAGAAGATGATGACATTAATGACATAAAACTGACATTTTCTGAAGTATCCATGAGTAAAACTCCAAGGAAATAAATTAGGGGAAAAAAAAAAAAGTGTAGACCTTTGAATTACTACAAATCCTCAAACAAAATATTGAAAAGCAACTGTTAGCAGAGCAGGGCAGAGCCGTAGCTAGGCTGAACTCCGGCTAAAGTAACTTGGTGACGTGTGCAAGTGACAGCAAGATTCTAATGCACTGCAAATGCCGGCTGTGCTGGAAGAGAGTCATTCAATCCAGCGTGCTTCAGGCTCTTGGCAGAAAAGGACTTTTATAGAATCTAAGAAATGCTGTAAATCCAATACCATGGTTTGGACGGGGAAAGGGACAGTGAGGCAGAAGGAGAATTCCTAGAGCCGTTCCCAAAACACACTGGGTTTGCGGGAGAGGGGTGTCTCGAGGTTGTTTCAATGAGCTGTTGGGAAACATTTCAGAAACAGGGATGTGAAGCTGCTCTGCTTCTCATTCTGGCAATGTGTGCTCATCTGGTTGACCCAGAGGACTGCGGGAAGGCCTAGTTATTCTGAACACGCATTTTCCTAACTATGGGTTGGTAAAGACTTCTTTTTGAGTATAAACACCCTCTGAGAGATGCTGTGGGTTATGTGCCATCCACATTTTGTTTTGCATATTTTCCCTGTAATATCTGAAATTAATGGTTCACACAAATTAGAGATTTGAGGGGATGTATGTGAGGGGAGGGATGAAGGGGCCTTCTCAGAGGAGTATAACCTGGGGTGCAGTGAGGTTGGGGTCATCTTAGTCAGGGGCAGCAGACAAGGCTGACCTTGGAGGTAGGGGTACTTTACTTGGAGGTAGGGGTAGAGTGGAGCTGGGGGAAGAGCAGCAAAGAGTAAGTTCCACAGCCCACATCGCTCACAAAATCAGAGAAACGGTGAACTGTTTTTCTGCTAGGTTTTCATACTACTGTAATATTTAACAAAAGAGGATCCTACTGTGAAAATATAGCTGCAGCATCAATGGATTAGATCCAATACACTTAAATCTGCTCATGGAATTTGCTTTTTCTCTTCCCTTGTGTTGAATTTTACAGCATAATAAATACCGAGCCTCAGCAACTTTCATGTGACTTCCAGGAGACAGTGGCAGCAGGGGCAAATGATTCTTCCTGGATGGTGACTTTGTGAGTATTTTTAGCAATATGTCCTGGGAGATAGGCTGTAAAAAGGGCTATTGATTTAATTTGCAGACAAAGAGACTGAGCTGATGCAAGACAAGAGATTTGCTTTGGCAAACTGTGAGTCACACTGCGAGAAAAAGCCATGGTCCCTAGAATCACGGGGCCAAGCTGCATGGAAACGGGATCAAGAAAGAATATCTTTCATCTTAAAGTATGACACACACACATTCAAAAAGTTAACTATGAAAGTATTTGGCCAGGTGCGGTGGCTCACGCCTGTAATCCCAGCACTTTGGGAGGCTGAGGTGGGCAGATCACAAGGTCAGGAGATCAAGATCATCCTGGCTAACACGGTGAAACTCTGTCTCTACTAAAAATACAAAAAATTAGCCAGGCGTGGGGCCGGGTGTGGTGGCTCACGCCTGTAATCCCAGCACTTTGGGAGGCTGAGGTGGGTGGATCATGAGGTCAGGAGAAACCATCCTGGCTAACACAGCGAAACCCCATCTCTACTAAAAATACAAAAAATTAGCCGGGCGTGGTGGCGGGCGCCTGTAGTCCCAGTTACTCAGGAAGCTGAGGCAGGAGAATGGTGTGAACCTGGGAGGTGGAGCTTGCAGTGAGCCGAGATCATGCCACTGCACTCCAGCCTGGGCAACGAGCAAAACTCTATGTAAGAAAAAAAAGGCCAGGAGCGGTAGCTCACGCCTGTAATCCCAGCATAATCCCAGCACTTTGGGAGGCCAAGGTGAATGGATCACTTGAGGTCAGGAGTTCGAGACTGGTCTGACCAACATGGAGAAACCCCATCTCTACTAAAAATACAAAAACTAGCTGGGCATTTTGGTGGGCGTCTGTAATCCCAGCTACTCAGGAGGCTGAGGCAGGAGAATCGCTTGAATCCAGGAGGCAGAGGTTGCAGTGAGTAGACATGGTATCACTGTGCTCCAGCCGGGGTGACACAGTAGGACTGTGTCTCAAAAAATAAAATAAAATAAAGTATTTGATTGTTGAAGCAATAGTACGGAAGGGATGAAGTAAAAAGGGGCTTTTCCTGCTAGACACTGTTGTCTGTGTCTTCTTTGTTGGCAGAACAAAGACTTTTTCTGGGGGGCACCAACCTCCACCTGGCCATGTGTTCAAGCCCAAGGAGAAGTCCCAGGATTGGTTCAAGCTAATCACGGCGATCACAATGCAAATGACTGAGCTCAGCATGGCACAGCTGGCCTCAATCCTGGCCAGTGCGACCTGAGAATCAATCGCTGGTGGGATTCTGAGGGAGTTTTTCTCACTATTACAAACAGACGCATAAGCAGAAATACTTCTCTTCTTTGCTTGGCACTGTCACGTCTAATGTGATGCCTGGATCACTGAAGCCCCCAGAGGCCACGGGACACGCTGAAAATGGCCCAGTGGGAAGGCGGAAAGCTCTGGGTCCTGAAAAACACTTCTAAGTTACTGATGGACCAAACTGAAATCATCCTTTATTTTGTTTTTATGTCAGAAAAAAAAACAAACCTAAATTCTTCAAGTGACTTTTTTGTTAAGTTTTTGTTTCTAGAAGCCCAAAGTATCCTAATAATAATAATTTTAAATAATCCGCCTATTTTTGGAAATATCTTGTTCATCGTTGAGACTATGAATAATAGATCAGTTCTCACCCCTGCCTCCCCTGCCATTTACCAGAGTTAACAACTGTGAAGAGTTCTCTGTGTTATTTTTAAAAATTCTGTAAAATGCACACACACACACACACACACACACTTTGATATGGTTGTTCTTAACCAAAAAATGAGATCAAATCTCTATCTTACTGTATGGATAAACAGTAAATAAACCTTTTTCTAATGCAGTAGAAAAGGAAGTCAACCTCTTGGATGTTTAGGATGTGATTTCAGTAGCTAGTTTCTTTGTGCCGTGACATTGCCTTCAGAATTCTGATCTTGGCCAATTTTCCTATCCAGCAAAGCACCATTGCCCCAACACTGGTACATTTTTAAAAGTTAGTTGTGAATTACAAGCTGTAAACATTAGATGCAGCAGACGGTGTTCTCACTGTCACCACTGGCTCTCGCCAGGGAGCCTATGTGTTACCTGGAGATTAAGGGGAAAAGCCTCAAAGGCACAGATTCTGAAGTCAACTTGCTGTTGATTATTTTCATTGATTTTTCAATCCCCTTGGTAATCGCAATTTACAGCAATGTGCTCTAAACTCTAATTTTATCTGGGCAAAGTGGCTAACAGCTGTAATCCCAGCACTTTGGGAGGCTGAGGCAGTTGGATTGCTTAAGTCCAGGAGTTTGAGACCAGCCTGGGCAACATAGGGAGACCCTATCTAGATAGATAGATAGATAGATAGATAGATAGATAGATAGATAGATAAGCAAGACCGGCGTGGTGTCACATGCCTATAGTTCCCGCTACTTGGGAGGCTGAGGTGGGAGGATCAGTTGAGCCCAGGACGTTGAGGCTGCAGTGAACTGTGATTGTGACACTGCACTCCAGCCTGGGCGACAGAGTGAGACCCTGTCTCAAAACAAAACAACTCCCCACCCCCAACAAAAAACCAATGATTATAATTTCACTGCAAACCTTTACACACACACGCAAACACACACGCACGCACACACCCCAGAAACAGGAGTGCATGCAGGACATGTGGAGGGGGCAGGCGTAAGTTGGGGAACAATAGCTGGGTAGCATCGTGCTGTTTTATTTTTGTTGTTACCTCAATGAGAACCTCAGAGATAACCTCATCTATTTATATATTGGCCCAGGAGTTTCTAGCTAAAAACAGTTAAAAGATAATTTTTCAAAAAATCATAACTTTCAGGAAGCTGAGGCAGGAGAATTGCTTGAACCCGGGAGGAGGAGGTTGCAGTGAGCCGAGATCGCGCCAGTGCACTCCAGCCTGGGTGACAGAGCGAGAGTCCATCTCAAAAAAACAAAAAACAAAAAACATAGCTTTCATACAGGTATAAAATAAACACAGTGTATTCATTTTACTTAACTCAGATGCTATAACTGGTTCAAAGGACAATCTGAAGAACACATTTATAGATGAGAAATACTGAAATAAACTTGCGAATGGACAAAAAAAGTTGGCTTTCCTACAAGGTAGGGAGCATTCCCTCTACCAGACAGAATTCATTTCCTGCCCGTAGACAGGCACGTTTGCATCGCCAGCAGCTCTTTACAACTTACGAAGTTGTAAAACAGCTCCCAAGCAATGAAGGCTGCAAGCAGATAAGCTGGCAGGCCGTGAGCAGGCCTCAAATGGAGTTTTTCAATGAAGCACAAATGTTCCCCTACAGAACCCAAGATGTCTCTTTAAAAGAAATCATGAAAGAAAAGGGGATTAAGTGGAGCTTATGGGCTGCTCCAGGGTTAAGTGGCCTCCAAAATAAACAGGACTGCTTGATAGTCAGAGTGAATTTTGGGTGGGGTTTGAAAGAGTTCCTGCTTTCCTCTGCTAATGGTGACATAAAATGACCATTTCATACCCATGGATATACATTGACGTGTACATAGAAGTTGCGGAGGCAGTGGCAGAAGCCAGAAGACTTTCTCTGCCATGAGCTCCTCCTAGGAGCCCTGGGTTGCAGAGGGTGAGGACTGCTAGGAAAGTCTGTCAGTTAAGGCCGAAGGGACATTAGCTTTGCTTTAAAACACATTGCCTGTGCTTGCGTTTGTGTCTTCATCTGATTTAACGGGTTTTAGCTCAGACTCTCCAAATCTATTTACCTACAAGTCCGTTAAGGCAGACTGTGTTGTTGACAAAGCAGAACAGAATTTCCCTGCGGCTTCTAGCTTCAAGGAATCCCAGCTATTTATCCATCACCAAGAAGGGAAGCCCCATGGGTGGCTGATGGTTCATTTACTCCAGCCCAGGGGGTTGGATTTCAATTAGTGCATTTGCTTTTCCCTCTAGGTAGAGCTCACCCTTTAAAGTCACTTCTTGGCTCTCTAACAGTTTTAAGATGTACTTTCCCATCTCAACAACAATACAGGATGTGTCTTACAAGGCTGTAGTTCTCACTCACTGCATTCTTTCTCTGAGCCGTCCAGGAAACACGGGCAGGCCTTACAGTCAAGGCACCTTAGATTTAAAGTATGGAGTACGCGAAACCTTCCTAACTGGTAAAGCGCTCAGTAATGCAAATTCTGGGTGCAACTCAGTGGTTCTTAGTCTAGTCAGAGTTATGCAGTCATCAGCACAATCTACTCGCACCCTCCTCAAGGTATGACATAAATATTTCTGAATTCACAATGCGGACAATCTCATTAATAACTTTATTGAATCCTGTGGCCCAGCACTCGGGGTTCTCTAAAACCCCACCCTGCCTTCCCCTCCAATCGCAGTGTCCACTGTCTCTTTTAAATAGACTCTGTCCTCATCAAGCCTGTTCTCTGTCCCCCAAATATGCCATATCATTCCTTAATGCACGCCTTTTTTTCCCCAGTTCCCTACAATCTTATAATTAGTGGTGACACTAATCTATATGTGTTAAAACTCATAGAATTGTATACAAAACAGTCAATTGTACTGTGTACATACATTTAAAAGATAAAATAAAATGTGTTCTTTTAACGCTTACATTGGTCTACTTTCCATTTTTTCTGGATCCTAGAAAGGCCTTCCTGTGCTTCCTAAGACACAAAATCCTCTTCTCAGCGCCTGCCTCCTGACCCCAACTCAGGGCTGAGCCACAGAACCAGTGCACTCATCCCCACAGCACTCCCTGCAGAAGTACCTGCACGTTCGTTTGCTGTGTCCTGAAGTGAACTCATTTCACTGTGAGTATCAGGCTAAGTTCTGAGGATACAAAAATGGAGGGACATAGTCTTTGCTTCTTCAGGACACTCTAGAAGTTACAGACATTTCATGGACAGAAAAGTGGGAGCCGGAGTGGGCTTGGGGCATTTAGGGAGGACTTCATGATGTTGGTGTGTGATATGGAGTCGTGAGCAGAAACACGGTTCCTCACGGAAAGCACACAGGAGCCCCTCAGGTCCTGAGACCTGGGTGTCTGAAGGCCCACGGCACGCGTGAACGCAGCCCAGGGTCACTGGGAGTGAGGGGCGAGGGGTTTGGCAGGCCATAATTGCAAGAGCTAACTCGCTAAAACATTTACATGCACACCAAGTGATGAGGTGTGGACCAGACCACTCGTGATTACACAGTGTGAGCATGGTTACTGGGGACCTCAGAAACCTGAGCAGACGAGGCCATGGGGGGATCCGGGTGTCAGGAGGCTCACTTTTCAGGCAACGTGGAGGACAGGCGGAGGGGTTGAGATCAGGAAGACCCAAGAAAAAGGAATGAAGTAGGTTAGGGTATGGGGTTGGGGAAGGGAGGGAGATTCAAGACGGAATGAAAAGTCAAACTCACCAGGAATCCAGTAATGTGACTGGCTTCCTATGTGCAAACGGGGAGGTGAACACTAAGATACCTCGGGGGCCACGCAGGCATTTGTAAGAAAGCTCAGCTGTGGAGGTTTTGAGGTTTCCAATGAATAATCCATCTTTTTTTCCCCCAGGTTCAATAGCAACTGAGAGGCAGATACAGGCATTGAACTGTAGAGACAAGTCATGTTGATGATTCATAAGGCTGCCTGCAGATTGGGCCTTAGGCCAACAGACATGTGTGTTTGCTAATCTCCTCTGATGACTTAGAAAGACCACCCACCGAGCCACATGGGCACTGGACAAAGGGCCTGCCTCCACGCAGGGAGGGACAAGAGGGGGACAGAAGGCAGGCTTTCTCCGGGAGGCAGCTATAGTTGTGATAAGATTTGATTAAGCTGGTCTTCCTCTGGAGGAGATGGGGGTGAGGGGAGGGGGCGCCAGCCTGGCAGTGGAAAGCTATAAAGGAGGCAGGCCCCTCACCACCCACGGGAGGATGCAGGCATCTGAAGCCTGGGACACCTGACCGTCCTCCGTCGTGAGTCCTGTCCAGGCGGCCAAGCTTTGGTGCACAACCGTTTCTGAAAGCAGATCCTCGTGCTGATCATTGCAAAAGAGGTGAAGGCAGACCCAGAGGCCACCATTTGGAAAAACAAAACATTTTTAGGAGTTTAACTTTCTAAAATAATTCTCAGTGTAGAGTTACACGTGACAATGTGGCCTGCACTGAGTCCATCAAAGTTGGAATTAACTGGTCATTGGCATCGGGGAGAAGGAATAATGATGCCCGCAGTCCCTGGACCTTAGAAAAACTAGAGAAATAGGAACGGAGCACACCATTAACTATTCTCATAATCACCTCAATCCGGTAAAAATAAAAAAGGTCTTCAGACCAGGAAGGCATGAAGACTCCAGAAACTCTGCATCAAACCTTTTCCATTTGCAATCAAAACCATCCCTGCTCCTGGCTGCCAGCTCAAAGCATCCTGTTCCCTTGCCCTCCACAAGACAGCTCCAAACCCCGTGCTGCCAGACAGGGCCGCCCACTTCACCTCGCTGTTACTGTCGTTCCTCTCGGCCCTGATGACGCTGTCTCTGTCTCCATCACTGATCTTGTCCCACTTCCTGGAAGTCTCAGGACATCCACAGGTGCCTCTTCCAACCCCCTCACCCCCCAGGCTCTCGGGCCCCTCTCTCCCCGGGGAACTGCAGAATCCCGAGCTGCTTCCTCTGTAGCTACCACCTCTCCCCTTGTCAGCAGCCCCGGGCCCCTGCCCAGTGGACGCGATTGCCTCCCGCCTTCACCCCTCCATGTCCTAGCCCCTAAACCAGCACCCAGCCCACCACCCCTCTGTGACTCCCTGGCCCTTCTCTCCACGTTGGGCTCAGTCAAACCAAGACCCGGGTTAAATTCAGATGCCGAGCGTCTCTGCACGGGCAGCGCCGTGGGTGGGTCTGGCTGTGTGCTAGTCCCCTGACCGTTGGCCGTGTGGCCCTCTGTGTTTCTAACCACTCTTTCTACCCGGCTCATCCTCCCCTCCTCACTGCCCATTCCCACTGCCTGGCCTTCAGCCTATAAGCCCTTTCTCATGCTCAGCCATGGCTCCCCACTGAGGACAGTGAAGTAACAGAGATGTCTCTGCTCCCCAGCACCTGACACCTGCTGCAGGCCTGCCTTCTCCAGAACCCCAGGCTGCTGGACAGGAACCCCCATAACCCCCACATGGAAGGCCGATCTCCCACCAGGCCAACCCCGCTCCTCTCATCTTCTCAAGGACATGCTCCATCAGGTCTTCCTTCTGTCTTGTTTGTTATGTTTTGGCTCCAAACAGTCACAACAACAAACAACAAAAATGCTGTTATTTCTCCCACCCTGCAAACCCCTTCCCTCTTCACTTCCTTTGCATCTTTTTGTAGCAAAACTTCTTGCAAGAGTGGCGTATGCCCACTAAACTCACACCCTCTGCCTTTGCTCCCACCATGCCCGTGAAATTGCGGGGGTCACAGGTGCTTCTTATTCCTCTTCTCGGAGGCACCACCAGCTGGGGGAAGGAGCAGGACATGGAAAGCGCAGATAGCAAAAGCAGGTGACGCGGCGATGTGAGCGGAGGAGGCGCCCAGAACACCAGGCCAGGCAGGGGAGGTTGGAACAGAGGCAGGCCAGCCAGCTGGGCAGAGAGAGCCAGAGCAGGTCCACAACCAGCGGTGCTGGAGGCAGTGGGGGTCAGGAAGACCAGGGTGGAGGCTGCAGGGATGAGGACATGTGCCGAGCAGGGCAGGCACTGGTGCTGAAGAGCACGGGTGGGGGAGGATGTGGATTAGCCAGGTCGCAGAGGTAATGGAGAAAGGGGTAGTGAACCTCAAGCAGCCCTCAAAAGACAGGCAGCAGCACTGGCAGGCGGCATGTGGAGAAGGATGAAAGCCTCAGTACAACTCTCCAGCCAGGGGCAGAAGAGTTATTATGCCTGGGAAGTGGGCTGGCTGGGAAGGAGAGGAGGTTGGCCATGGGGATCGGGGCTTGGCTTAAATAGGCATAATCTGATGGGGCAGCTAGTCATCAAATTAGGCAGAGTGAGGGGGTGACACTGCTGTAACAAGAAATGTGTATTTGGTTTCTGCCCCGGGTTCCTAGCACTGAGCCCCTAAAACCCTTGGAATTCCCCTAGCGATGCAGGCAGAAGAATGTCCTTCATCATTTATCACAAGCAACCCTACCTGAGAGTATGCTAGTGAGGTGGCTCCTGGAGGCTGGGGGCTGAGTGCCGGAGGAACGTGCCAGATCTTTGGAGGGCTGGAACTTTCAGCCCCACCCCCACAAGGTCTGGGGTTCACTCAATGGCCAATGATTTCATCAATACTGCCTATGTAATGAAGCTCCTTAAAAATCCTGACATTGCAGGGTTCGGGAGCTTTGGGGTTGAACACATTCTGGTGTAGGAGGTGATGCCCCCTGAGAGGACATGGAAGCTCAGTGTGCTCCGCTGCCTGGCCCCGGGCCCTGTGCACCTCTTCTCTGGCTGTACTTTTACATCCTTTCATAATATCGTTGGTGATGAATTGGTCAATGTTAAGTGATTCTCTGAGTTTTGTGAGCTGCTCTAGCAAGTTACAAATCCCAGGAGGAGGTCGTGGGAACCCCTGATTTACTGCTGGTCAGTTAGAAGGGAGACCTGGGACATGCAACTGGCATGGGGAGGGGGGCAGGCTTGTGGGGCTGAGTCCTTCACCTGCTAACTCCAGGCAGGTGGTGTCAGAATTGGATTGTAGGACACTCGGCTGGTGTCTGCAGTGAACTGCAGAATTGTTTGGTGTGAGAAAAACCCTACATTTGGTGTCAGAAGTGTTTTCTCTCTCTCTCTCTCTCTCTCTCTCTCTCTCTCTCTCTCTCTCTTTCTCTCTCTCTCTCTCTCTCTCTCTCTGTGTGTGTGTGTGTGTGTGTGTGTGTGTGTAGCAATAGTAGTAGCAGTAGCAGTAGTAGGAAAAACAGGAGTTTGTTTTCTTTTAGAGAAACAGTTTTGCGTGCAGTTTGCAGCTAGAGAGGGGTCTGGGAGGCATCTGAGCAGAGGTGACAAGCAAAGCCACAAGAGCATGGCTTCATTTTCTGCTAAATTTGCAGTTCAAAAGTTCCAAGTTTCAATTTTGTAATATGAAACATTGTCAGTGAAACAGTTTTTGAAAGAACAAGAAAGGTTTTTTTTTTTTGTTTTTTGTTTTTTTTTGGTAAGAAAAATCAGCATCTTATGTTCTTAGTTTTAAGGAAATGGGCATGATCTTGTCTCAAGTGTATGAAGACAGTTCTGTCAACTTCTGGCCTGGGAGACCCCCGGGCTCTGGGAAAGTAGAGATAACAGACTTGAAAATCCATCCCTCTCTTGGAAGTGGGCTTAGGGGTCTGTACTTTCTAAGCAGAATGATTATAGTTTTTCATCATGGGGGAAAAGAAAGCCTTAAACCAGGGAGCTAAAAAGAAAGATGATAGATGCTGTTCTTTTTCCTTTCCCTGGGCAATTTTGTCATTGCAGAAAGGAAACAGACTGGAGGAAGATTATGGCTTTTGCTAAGAGTTGAACCAGAAAGGCTGGAAAGAGCAGCACGCAATGACAGTTGACGCCAGACTCGGGTGGTTGGAACAAGTCGTGAGATTTAAGGTAAGTTATAAAAGGCTATTCTAATTAGTAGCCAACAACATGGCTTCAACAGGTTAAGAAAAAGTTAAACGTTATAAATGAAGACACCTGATTGTAACTTAGAGTTTGCCTAAAATCAAGGTGGCTTGTGTTTTCCAAACCACCTTCTGTCCCTATCCCAGCTCTTGCAGAAGAGAAGAAGGCTCAGTGGCAACCCAGCCCCACACATCTGCATCTATTTAAGAGAACTAGAAGCATGAGCGTTTAACAGTCTGACAATGAGACAAGAGCATGTCAAAGCAAGGAGACTCTCAAGGCCAGTAAAAATAGTGAACATGACTTAGAGGGTCCTTATGGCTCTTGGCAGTAAAGGCCTCAGACAAAAACATGTGTTGTCAGGCATGGGAGTATGGTTTATATAATCAGCCTTGGTTTTAATACTGAGATGTTTTAGGATGTTTCAGAAATAAAAGTTGAGAGAACTGCCAAAGAACTTACCCAGACAAAAAAGGAGGTGATGGCAGAGGACAGGGTGTATTAAGGCAACCATGAACTGCCCCCACCCCCACCCGCTATGGTTTACCTGGCAATGTGTGTGTGTGAGGGGGCATTGCTTTGATAGTGGGATTCCCAGCAAAAATAAAATCTATGATGTTGTCAGAGAGGATGGCAGGCGAGGCCTGGGAAATGAGACGTGGCTCTCTCCGGGGACATCCTCCTCAAATTCTTATTTTATGCAAAAAGTAAAAGTGCATCAGGATAATTGCTCCCGGCTTAGCTTTTCCAAAAGCCACATGCAAATGGGACTTTCTGTTCTCCATGACAAACTAGCAGTTAAAGGAAGGCAGAATGCATTTTTTTTCCCCTGACTTTCTCTGAGTGCGATTCAGACAACTGACATTGGAACTCAGTGAGCGCCAAACTTGGATTTTTTTTTCAGCATCATTTGAGTTTTTTTTTTCTTTTTCTTTTTTTTTAAGGCTACATAAGTGATGGGAACATAATCGTCTTGGGAATCCACAAATAACTTTTTAAAAAGTCATAAATCTGGATTTCATGCCTCATAGTTTTCAGCAACTGCGAGAAATATGTCAAAACTCGAACGCGGTAGGTTTCTGTCCCCGTTAGTGGGCACAGACTGACGCTCTGGGTCCCGTCCATGTGCTTTGGTGGTAACTGCGTGAACTAGTCAGCAGCATGCTGGCTGAAATGCCTTGGTTGCTTTTCACTGTCATTTTTCAATATCATGATTAAAAAAGCACAGGGGAAGAACTATAAGTGTCATGGAAACTTTTATTTGATCCTTAAAAAATGGTCTGATAGGTGGCACAGAAATTTGTAAACCTTATGATAACACTAGAGCAGGTCCACAGTGTCATTGAAAGTTGGGAGTTTTAAGCGAGAATTTGGGCAGGGCCACCCCCAGCAACTCTGCAGTATCCTGTGGGTCTTCATGCTTCGGAGGAGAAGCTCATCCTAGCTGTGCATTCTCATCACCTGGGAAGCTGTTAGAATGTTGTTCCAGGAGCCCCACCCCACGCTAATTAAGTCAGAACACGGGATGCGGGATGGGGAGGCCTAGGCATTGGTGATTGTTAAAGCTCCCTAGGTGAAGCTAATGGGCTGCTCAGGCTGAGGAAAGATTTTTACCGTGCCCGTGGTTCTCAAACTTGACTGCTAGTGCAGTCACCCGGGGAGTTTGCAACAATTCCAGTGTCTGGAGCCCCAACTCCGAGCATACTGATTTAAGTATAGGAGGTGTGGCCTGAGTAGCAGGAGTTACAAACATCTCCCCAGATGATTCTAATGACAGGAAAGGACTGAATTACAATCACAGAGGCTCAGAAGAGCAAGCGGGTTCATATCTCCAACCATAAACTTACATCTGTCAGTAAGCACTTAGCAAGTGAGCCCTGCTGCCCTGCACTGACCAAAGGAGAAGAAAATAGAGTCCCTGTTTTAACAAGCTTGAAGGGTTAGGAGAAGAAATCAGTGCAGCAAATGCAGTGTCAAGTCTAAAACAATTAGACACCCAGTAAAAGATGAGCTTCCTTTTTGATGGATACAGTGCTACAACTCTCAGTGCATTTCTCTTTTGCGACTGCCTTTAGGTCGACACCTGCCTTTCCTCTCCTACTCACCTGTGAGCACCTCAACACCTGCTCAGCACC